CTTATTCCAAAGACTTTGAAAAGCAATTATTACCAGCGGGCTCTCTTCATCAGTTTTCAAAAACATGATTTTTGAAACAATTCTGCGTAAACGAAATGAAGCTATGATAATAACTGTCCTTTCATAAAAAATATATCAAAGCCTAAGACATTAATTGGTTTGAATCAAAGAGTCCCAATGCCACAATATTTAACCAATCATCCGAAACGACCCTCAAAACCTCAAAAGGAATGCCCTCGATTTGATCAATCAGGCTGCCATAGAGTAAATATTTTCTTCTAGGAATATAAGAGGTTGTATTTACAATTTATTGTCAAATAACACGTTTATTTGCCAAAATATCACACAAAAAGGACCTAAGTAATAAAGAAATCTAATAATTTCTTAGAAGGTTAACATTTATGTGAAACATAAAGCCGCTACTTATTATTTTTATTTGTTAACTAGCGGCCGCCCGCGACTTCGTACGCGTGGATCTCGTTTTACCCCCCCTTCATCTATCTTACGCGGTTCAGATTTTTTCATACAAATGTTTTTTTCCCGCTAACTTCCGTTCCCGTGGGAATTTTGCAATATCCTGTTGTAACTACGCTTTAAGTTTACTAAGGTACCTGCATGCCAAATTTCAAGCGTCTATCTTACGCGGTTTAGATTTTTCATACAAATGTTTTTTCCCGCTAAATCCCGTTCCCGTGGGAATTTTGCAATATCCTGTTGTAATTAAGCTTTAAGTTTACTAAGGTACCTGCATGCCAAAATTCAAGCGTCTAAATTAAGCGGTTTAGATTTTTCATACAAATGTTTTTTCCCGCTAACTCCCGTTCCCGTCGGAATTTTGCAATATCCTTTTGTAACTAAGCTTTAAGTTTACTGAGGTACCTGCATGCCAAATTTCAAGCGTCTAACTTAAGCGGTTTAGATTTTTCATACAAAAGGATTTTCCCGCTGATTCCCGTTCCCGTGGGAATTCCTAAGTATCCTATAACCTGCCCAGGAGTATGAAAAATAATTCNATAGAGGCCGGTCCTCATAATTGCTGGCCTCATAATAATCCTCATAATAACTTAGTTTCGCAAACCTCACTCTGTTCTATGCTAGAATATTTTTGAGGCAAACAGAAATCTACGCCGGTGCACCCACGGGCAAAGCCTTCTTTGCTATTCATATCTTGTACCACAGTAATTCGATTCTGTTTCTAGGTTTCGTGCTTGTGCGAACCCTATTCCAGGAAAGGGAAAAAATGATAATTTGTCTGCCTGGAGATACGCCAAGTTGTATTTGCTCCGTTATACCTTTGAGAGAGTAGTCGGCCTCGATGGTAACTACATTAATAATCTGGGGTGCCATCATGTAGGATAAAATATAATTATGTTAGCTAAATTGGACTGTAATGTACTGTAGACAGTAACTGGAATCAAAGAAAAAATAGCTATAGAAATAGAAGTTTCTGAAATTATTGTATTCAATGTAATCTATCAATGTTTGCTACCTACGGGCCAAAAATACCATTAAGTATTTTGATTACTTCTATTACGTAGATTGTTTGATCTCTCTTTAGTACCCACATGAATAAGAGGTCTTTGTACGAATTTACATTATTACAGGGACTATGTCTCGTAGTAAATTATAGAATTATGAATTTACAGATAGGTACTTGAGGTAACCTAACTTGAAACCTAATTATGTATTGATTGATGGATAGCTATGGGTGGTTAGGTCTAGTGTAGTAACAGTGGTAAATTCCTACTAATACTACTACTACGAGAGGAATGAGTCGATATCACCTCCAGCTCTTAATGCGATATCTATTCTCATTGATATGCTACTGTTTGTCACATTACACTATGTGCAGCTTTCCATGGCATGAACAATGAAAATGTATGGAATATGAATCACGAGCCTTTAGATAAACCAGATTTAACAAGTAGAAACTAGAATCCGCGATATAATCCCATTTAATCTGCGCACAATGGCGCAAATTGTGCACAGTGAGTGACTGAGCCGAACGGCCGAATTATTCAGCCGAAATTAACCGCATTACCAGAATCGGAAGTAGAAAAATTTACATAATAACACCGTATTGTCATAAATTCATAAGAACTGATAAGAGTTATTAAGTCATATAAGACAAGCATTGGCAAAAAACATCTAGATAAAAAAACAAGATCCTTAGGGGAGGCCTTTGTCCAGCAGTGGACGTCATGGCTGAAACGAACGAACGATAAAAAAACAAATAGGATAAGGATGTCTGGTGGACCTTAGTCGTCTCAAACATATGCCATTGCCGTCCACTGCTGGACAAAAGCTTCGACAAAGTTCTCCACAACGCCCGGTCCTACTCTGCCCGCATCCGGTTGCATCCCGCCACCTTCACTAGATCGTCAGTCCACCCAGTAGGAGGCCTCTAGTGGAAAAATATCGCAGCTATATTTGGATAAAAAAAACGTCAAAATTATCTATTGGCTATCGAATGGTTCTGAATCGTCTATCTGGATACGTATTTTTGAAGTATTCAAATCTCAACTCGCATACCAATCGCATCGTACCTATGCGATTTGGAACTCAAGCGTTTCAAAAATATGCCTCTCTGTGCCAAATCTTGCGAATCGTTATGGCCGAGTCTGAAGCTTGAATCATTTTCCTTATCAAACAATCAAGTTGATTAAATTAATCAAACGACTTCAAAAAAGGTTCTCAGTTTTCTCGTTTTCTTGTAATCCATTTTAATTATGTTAAAAATTGTTAATGACGAAAGGTCAAATTTTAGAAAATGCATTATAAAGAATAATTTAATTAAGAAATACCTACTGCCAGTAAAACCATTACGTATTAAAGTAGTATGCTTAATGCATTGTTCGCGCATTACTTATTTCCCACTGACCTAATTTTTGCTTTCGCAAAATTTAGGAAACTGCCTAGTTGGGAGATGCCCACCCTATACAACATTATCAGTGTAACTCTCTATCTGATTTTGTCTCTATCACACATCCTAACAATCCAATGTGATCGAGAAAGAGGGAGACAATCGAAAACGTTTTCCAGAATTAGGGCAGAGTAATTTTCGGGTGTATGCTGTGGTTTGGAATTTTAGGATGTTGCTGTATCATAAACTGACTGGTTCTACTTTGGTTTAAACATTTCTGACGTTATTATCTAGGCCAGTGTTTTTCAACCTTTTTCATGACACGCATGACCCCCCTAGTATGAAAAAATATTTTGCGACCCTCCGACCGTTCGCTTTTTTTTTCATGCATTTTATAATATTACAAAGATGTTGTACTTACCTCCTTAGTTTGCATTGTATGTAATCAATACCTGTAATTTTTTCAAATATTCTCTCTGATTCACAATCTGTTTTGTCCCGTTTTCTATTTAAAAATATTCATTTTGAGAACGGAATCATAATCCCTGCACTTCCAGTTCCAGTACATACCAAATTCCACTTATTGCTGTAAAATAGCTGAGCCCCCGCTAAAAGCTTACGTTACGTAGTATCCACCAGAGGGAGTTATTGTGCTATGATAATTAAATCGACCTCTAGTGCACATTTGGAATTCACAGAGACCCTAATTTGCATGGCTCGGGCCTGGGCAAACTAAGGAAATATGCCAACAAGAGGGCAAACACTCCCATTAATATTTTATCGGGACGTTTTGTCCCGTTGTGATTTTTTAGCAAACGGAGTTGTAATGTTGTGTCAATATTGTCTTTGGACGAATTTGGAGGTCTCAAAATCTTGGAATGTTTTAATTTTTCCGCTTCTTGACTTTTGAAGAATGGCAATATTTTGTAGGTAGCAAAACAAAACTTGATAAAAAAGTCGAAATAGGGATAGATTTGATTAAGCTCCGTTGGTGTGGACTTTATTACACAGCATAATGTCACTCAGAAAAAAAAAACCGACTCCAAAAAACCTACACTAAAACGTCAAAAATTATTACTAATTACCTACTTATTTATTAGGACGAAATATTAATATTTATGTAGGTATACCATGATTGATACTTCTGGAGTCGGTGCCAAGATTATGAAAATGTAAAGTTTGCCTGCACCGACTCCAAAAGTATCAATCATGGTATACCTACATAAATATTAATAATTCGTCCTAATAAATAAGTAGGTAATTAGTAATTATTTTTCGACGTTTTAGTGTAGGTTTTTTGGAGTCGGTTTTATTTTTGTTTATAAAATTTTACTTATTTCTTGCTTTTTAGTTAACTAATTATTACCTTGATGTTACCACTAAAGGTAGGCAGTACACTGAGACCAAAAAAAAATTGGTTCATAATCGGCGGAGATATTGCGTATAAAAAAGTTCATCCCCAATTTTCCACCCTTGGGGGTGAAATATTTTCTTCAAATTCGCATGAAACCACCCTTTTGATAATACCTATTCAACAAAAAAATAATCGTTCAAATTGGTTTATAATCGACGGAGATATTGCGTATAAAAAAGTTCATCCCCAATTTTCCACTCTTGGGGGTTGTTTTTTATTATTAAATTTAAATGGGACCACCCTTGAGGTATTACCTATACGTCGAAAAAAGATTTGTTCAAATCGGTTCATAATTGGCGGAGTTATCGCGTAACAAACATAGAAGAAGAAAAAAAAACATACGGGTCGAATTGAGAACCTCCTCCTTTTTTGAAGTCGGTTGAAAAAAGTATTTATGTAGGTTAAAAACCAATCTATCACGTTTTTTATCCGTTTTCTGATACCCGTAGTACAAGCTTTGCTTATTTTGAGACAAAATGTCAATCCATGGATATTTTTTGTTTCCTAGTCCAGCGGTTCCCGGAAGGTGGTCCGCGGAACCCTGGGGTTCCGTGGAAAGGCCGCAAGGGTTCCGTAAAAAATATTATCCCACGTTTCGTGACCGACGTTGTTCGCTTGCACCGACTTTTTTACGCACAAGGGAGGGGCAGGGCGTGCGGGCGGAGTAGTACGGGGGTTCCGCTAGGAAAAGTATAATCAATTAGGTCAAAAACCCTGTCCTAGTCAATTCAAATATGTATATTTTGTCCCCAGGTCCAAAGTCCAGTCCTGGTGGTGGAGCTGACCCTCAACAGGCTAGAAGGCACGCAGCTGCGAGCACTGGGACTGTTGTCAGTCTTCGGCTTTAACGTGACATACGCCGTGAGGGCGCCGTCCACCGACCCCGGCCCTCCGTCTTGTAGTGCGATAGAATGCCGCCTGTTAGGGCACTGCTACGCTCGGCAGGACTACAAGTAAGTCCCCTACTAAACTATAGGGCTAAAGGGCACTAGAGTGCCGCTTGTTAGGGCACTGCTACGCTCGGCAGGACTACAAGTAAGTCCCCTACTAAACTATAGGGCTAAAGGGCACTAGAGTGCCGCTTGTTAGGGCACTGCTACGCTCGGCAGGACTACAAGTAAGTCCCCTACTAAACTATAGGGCTAAAGGGCACTAGAGTGCCGCTTGTTAGGGCACTGCTACGCTCGGCAGGACTACAAGTAAGTCCCCTACTAAACTATAGGGCTAAAGGGCACACAGCTGAACCTCCTCTCAGTCTTCAGCTTCAACGTGACATACGCAGTGAGGGCGCCGTCCACGGACCCTGGCCCTCCATCGTGCAACGCCATAGAGTGCCGCCTGTTAGGGCACTGCTACGCTCGGCAGGACTACAAGTAAGTCCCCTACTAAACTATAGGGCTAAAGGGCACACAGCTGAACCTCCTCTCAGTCTTCGGCTTCAACGTGACATACGCCGTGAGGGCGCCGTCCACCGACCCGGGCCCTCCATCGTACAGTGCGATAAAGTGCCGCCTGCTGGGACACTGCTACGCCCGGCAGGACTACAAGTAAGTCCCTCAACAGACTGGAGGCCTGCTATTAGTCTTCGGCTTCAATGTGACATACGCCGTGAAGGCGCTGTCCACCGACCCGGGCCCTCCATCGTGCAATGCGATAAAGTGCCGCCTGCTGGGACACTGCTACGCCCGGCAGGACTACAAGTAAGTCCCTCAACAGACTGGAGGCCTGCTATCAGTCTTCGGCTTCAATGTGACATACGCCGTGACGGCGCCGTCCACCGACCCGGGCCCTCCATCGTGCAGTGCGATAAAGTGCCGCCTGCTGGGACACTGCTACGCTCGGCAGGACTACAAGTAAGTCCCCTACTAAACTATAGGCCTAAAGGGCACACAGCTGAACCTCCTCTCAGTCTTCGGCTTCAACGTGACATACGCAGTGACGGCGCCGTCCACCGACCCGGGCCCTCCATCGTACAGTGCGATAGAGTGCCGCTTGTTAGGGCACTGCTACGCTCGGCAGGACTACAAGTAAGTCCCTCAACAGACTGGACGCCTGCTATCAGACTGGAAGGCACGTAACTCCGCGTGCTGGGCCTGATCTTGTTTCCTGACTAAACATACCTTTGGACACACGATTGCTAACCGTAAATTTAAGTTCACGTTGTATCCATAAATGTAAAAGTTTTTGAAGTATTGTTTTACCGAGACTGTTCGGCAACAATAGCAAATATTGATAGGTAAACGAACTGCTAAACCCACTTGTAAACCCGATCTTAAACTGAGATGATTGGCGATGAAGTACTACAGATCTTAATTCCCTTCAGGCGAAATCAAAATTCAATTTGTAGGCATTTCCGACGACTGTGAAATACATAATCGGCAAATACCGCTCAAATTTTCTTTTTGAAATATTTCAGCGTCGAATATTTTGTATTTAATGGTTGGGTTTATCAACGAAAAATCTCTCTTGGAAACCCATTAACGCACTCAATAGAGCGTGAAAATTTAGTGCAAAGCAGAATAAAGTACTCGATAGAGCCGATGACACGCGCCGCGATCCGCGCCGAAATATTGGGCCATCACTCACGGTTTGCAGTGTGCCAACAAAAACCGGCCGCACTCATACACAGTCGCGGCAACTGTTTCCGTGCGGGTATTTTGTGAAATTTATTGTTTAACCCGCAATATTTTGCTCGCAGGGAGTTCCACTGCGCATGTTTCGAGGGGTACTCCGGGGCCGACTGCGGCGAGGGCCCGCTCTGCCCGCGAACGTCCAACATGTGCAAAAACGGCGGCACGTGCAGGTGAGTGGAACCCAACCTTTTTTGCGTGGAGGAACCGCATTAGGCATCTGTTGCCATGGGGACAACAGTATGTTATGGGATAGGTACCTTTATCCAATCCAATTGATATTAGCGCCTTAAGGAAGGTTAATGTGTAGAAGGAAGACTATTTCAGCGGTAGACATCCTGTGTCTGAAAGAATGATGATGATAATTATTAGTAGCGCTTTCCATCATTCAGCAATGCGTGTACGCTTGTTGCTTTTTACCTTCTCAGGGTGATCTAGACCCACCGTTGCAAAGCCTAGGTCTTACTCTGTAGGGATTAAAGGGGAGTCAGTGGTATTACGCACTACGGGGAATTCCCGTGCAGACCACCGGTCTAACCCAACTTAGCCTAACCCTTCAGTTACCGGCGTCCATTTTCGCTGCGCCAGCGGTTTCGTTTAATACCCAGCAATCTCCTCGGCATAACGATTCGCCGGTCCACAGCGGAATTCCCCCGATATTTGTTGAGAACTTTCGCTCGTTACAAGTTAAATGCACATTACTCGAACCGGTTCCGTCCTATTTAACTTTTGCGTGAGGCTGAGACGGCACTGTCTTTGCGTTTTCGTTCGCGATATTTTCGCTGCATCTCGTTTTACTTCGGAATATTTCAACGGACTCATTATTCATAGCTGATGTAAGAATTAAGACTATCTTTCATACACAAGTCAAGTGTTTGAAGTAACAGGTGTGTTTAAGATTGTTACGAATAAGTTGAAGGTTCACAACTTCATATTCAGCGGGACCCTGCCAGTACCTACACAAAGTTACATACAGGGTCACCTTCAGGAATATTAAATTATGTAGGAGTTTATACATTTTTCAGACAAACATGCATTAGTATTATACTCTTTTGCAATTTTTATTATTGTTTGTTTTTAATGCAGAACAAGGCAGGTAATGTGTGACCGCAATCTCACGAAACGTTTCAAAGTGATTAAGCTGAAAATAAATACAATTAATTTTACATAAAAACCAAAACTGTTATTCATGAATATAAAAAGCCTCGTAAAAATGAAACTAGTACTTTCATTGATGAACGCCCAACTGACTAAGCACTTTCGTTTTTGCAAACGCGAAATTGAATCGCTGTGATATAACCTCATACAGCCTGTGCGAACAAAGCAATTTGGAATAGAAGGCCCATATATTAATAACAAAACAATAGATCAATGATACGTCAGTTCGCTCAATTGGGTAACTACCAATTATGTACTTTGAGTAGCTTACTAATACTCAGTGAGCCCGCTCCAAATTTACCTACGTCATTATGACATCACACACGGGACATGGCACACGATCAAAAAAGTTATGTCGAGCATGACTAGAAGATTAACGGACCTAAACTTGACTTGAAGTTTGTTACGGCTGCACACGGCAACCTCCTTGCCCGCGAAAAAGCACGGCACTGGCCAGTAAAAAAACTACATTCTTTTTTCGATGAACATTAACATTTCTCTTTTATTTTTTTTTCTCGCTCTCGTCTCTCGATTTTTACGATTTGAATTTGTAAATTAATATAGGTGGTTGTAATTGTTATTAAATTCACTTTTTACCCCGTATCTCAAGTATTAATAAATTTCTACAATGCCACGAAGCACAACGTTTAGGCCCATTGAGCTTTGAGCCACTACAAAGTTTGAGAAAATCTGCCAGTTCTGAAATGACCCGAAGCACTCGACAGTAAGTACCAAAGACTACTGGATACCTTTTCCTTTTTAATAAAGGCTTTAGGTATACGTATTTTTTACTATCCCATGAGAGAGAGCCTTCTGTTCACAGTCATATTATGAGCCACAAAAATAAACTATTGGCCCCAGGGGTTTGCCAATATATTCCTTTCCACTTCAAACGACCGGAGGTTAGCCTATTGTTTATGCCTAATACATCATATTTGGCAGAATTCTAGTTAAGTATTTATAGGCTAGTAAATTCTTGTTTGTATTAGCTTTGAGTTATTCCAGAAATACCTACGAGTTTATTTATTAGACATACCGACTAAAACAATAGAAATAGAAAATTTGATGTACTTACTGTAAATACATATAAATAACAATAAACATCTTACTTGTATCACAGAATAATAATATGTAGGTACTTTTGTATGTAGATATTTTAGACCAATACTTAGGTATCTATTGCCACATAGTGTAATACTTTAACTGAATAACCTAAGTATCGAATATATGCGAAATCGGAGGTAAAAGTTTATTATATCCTACTAAGGGTTATTTTAAAAATGACCACAGCCAACTTTTGTTACAAAAGCCTTTGTATCGTCAGGGTCAGCGTGAATTTGTAAAGCTTGTATAGCACCACGTATTGACAGGGGTGATAAATCGGCCCGATATTGGGACAATGCTTTTTAATAAAGTAACCGGCAGCGCCCGGCCTACGAGCGCGGAATACAAAGCTTATGGTGTCATGGTGTTTGACGTAATATAGTGCAGCATGGAATAGATGATATCGTGTCGTATTATGTATAGTTCGCGCCAATAGAGTTCAATAATTTCATTGGCATTTAAATGATGAAAGAGCGGTATGGCATCACCTTTTGAACCATAAATGTTGCCCAAAAAAACTATGAAAATATTTCAAGATGCACACCACATCACGAGCAAAGACTATACATTCGATTGTATGTCACTTGGATTAAAAATTCTATTAGCATCAGATCTAAATCCGTAAAAACTCTCATACCGTTAGTTTAGCTTAGCGAGCTCTTGATCTGCAACCGGCATTATTTCGTTCGTTCGTTACAGCCAAATGACGTCCACTGCTGGACAAAGGCCTCCCCCAAGGCTTTCCATAACGACCAGTCCTGCGCTACCCGCATCCAGGTTCTTTTCACAACCTTTCCGCAACCGGAGTTATAATTACTTTAATACTACAGCTACTTCGGATCAACTTTTTTGGCTCGCAATCGAATCGGATGCAGTGTGTAATCGCTCTAATCGCTTTACATAACTGACTGAATACAACGGATATTATAGGTACAAACATGTACACGAGATTACAGCTTGACGTTCCGTCTGAGTTGCTCTGCCGTAGTAAGTTCACGTGTGTTTAAGGCTGGGTTGCGCCATCTTACTTTAACTTTGATAAATGTCACAAATCTGTCAAACTCCATACAAAAAGCACCTGATAACGTTATAGTTACGGTCAAAATTTGGTGGTGCAACTCGGCCTAAGTATATCGTTGTGTGCAAGCAAATCTCGTCCTTATTTACAATTCAAAGCCCACCTGTTTGACCCAAGTTTGTGTCCACAGGCAGATGGGTCCCGCCGCGGTGAGCTGCATCTGTGCCCCGGGGTACACCGGCGACCTGTGCGAGGCGCAGATCGCGGAGCCAGGTGAATATGTTACATGTACACCATTTTATGCATATACAGGGTGTCGCTTTAAGGGCGCCTTCAAAGTAGTGTCGTGAAGAAGCACCACTACATCATACAATTTCTAAAAGTGCAACGCATGTCACGTTTGTCACTGTAGTAGTTCTGCGATCATTTGAAGAATATACAGGGTATCGCTTTAAGGGCGCCTTCAAATTAGTGTCACACAGTAGCACCACTAAGTACATCATACAATTTCTAACGTGCAACGCATGTCGCGTTTGTCTCGGTAGTAGCGCTGCGACTACTTTGAAGATACCCTTAGTATGGATCAAACATAAAGGATTGGTTTTTCTGCTCAAATGCAAAAAAAAAATTAAACAGAAACAATACGCAAATTATTCTCAAAAAAATTGACGTGCTCATACTACGAGTAATTTGCTGATTACTGGTGACAATCTATATGGAGAGGTAATGTTTAAAGATCCTTTTCTTAGAGAAAATTGTTTCATTTGAGATGTAGAATCAATCTTTTTTGATTCATACTTAAGTAGACACCCTGTATTTATTTGCACACCGGATTTGAGGAAGAAGAACACGAGGCTAGGGGTGACTCAGAATATTGTATTGTTTTGTAAGAGGAAGGATAACGCTTGGGGTGATGAAAAATAAATTGTACCAGGATGTGCCCCACAATAAAATCTTATCGAATTTCGACGAGAAATATCCCTTAGCCTTATCTTGTCATGGATCAAGATCGTTAAAATCTGCAGAGGACTCTATATGAAAACTCATACCATTTGGTTAACACTTTATTATGTGACTGCATATCATTTACGAGCTGTAATAAATGTTAATAATACACAAATAAACAGCATGTTTCATATTTAATGTTCTAAGCGCACAAGAGCATGTCGACCGCATGCATGCAATTAATCTAGCTCTTCATAAAAGAGGCTATAAAGCACAATATAAAATAAACATAAATAAAGCTAGTTTATGATCTATGTTCAATTTCCGCTGCATTTATGCACACCACCTTAGTTTATTACCTTCATAATACACACATGAAAATACCGCTAAGTAATATTACGCTATATATTTCTGTTTAATCTACCCAGTGCAATTCGAAACTAACTTCTAGAGTAGTGTTGTAAGAATACACATTTCATCGATGTAATTAGAATTATTAACTTCCATGTCGTCCCCAATATTGCAATTTATGTGTAGTTAAGACCGCCGGCAAAACTTTGGCTTAAGCTATACATAGTATAAGCCAGTTTTTGTAAATACTTTAAAAGGACTAATTCATTAGCTACACACACCGGACTAAATCATAAGCTAACAACTCGAATATTTACAACTTTTACTACTTTGCAATCTCACCACCAACAAACCCCAACAACAGTCCTACTATTGCATATGGTGCAACCCTACTTAGCTGACTAAACGATCAGCTATTCTATGATGCTAACTCGACGATGACAAATTCTTACAAGTGCTACGACTTTGAAAACTTACCACCAAATAACCTTGACAAGAATCACACCATTAAATGTTGTGCAACAATACTCACCTGACCAACAGCTCTATTCTACGATGCTAATATGACGATGAAAAATACTTACAAGTGTTACGATTTTGCAAGCTCACCACCATTTTTACCGTTGCATGTGGGGCATCCCTACTCTGCTATGCTCAACAACAGGTGTGCACCAAATGCATAGCACTTAGCATCCACACGCTTTGAGCATAAGATGCATGAGCGCTTTGTAATGCTAATACGTTGCTTATACAACTTCCGACTGTCTCAGGTTTTCAACAACTGCGTAGATGAAAATATTTACACCTAATTAAAGAATAATTATTTTTCCTGCCGCTTCACACGCGTGAAATCCAGTTTGTCATAGATCGAATATAACGATCTATTTGTCTCAAAACAGATTTCTGAAAACAAACAATAATTATGCTCGTATGAACGGGAAACATCACGTTGTTATTTCAATAACGCCTCTCAAAAAAATACTAAAAGTTGATTTGTATAAAAGCTATTTCCACGAACTAATTACATGGTTCTATAAATATTAATATTGATAATTGAACCACATTTTCTGCTACACTGTAATTAATATTTATTGTTAAATTGAAACCTTCACGTAGAGAGCACGCTCAATTAAATGTGGAATGATTTTGTTATTTTCTTGAAGTCGTAAGTTTTCTTTCCCTATTATACCTACGTATTTTATTTTCGAAATATGTTTCCGACAAAATATCGAACTATTTATTGTTCCAGTTCGAATAATGCTATAATGGGTATTTTACGCCCGTATTCACTAATGATACTTGCTTAAGTGAAGCAGCAAATCGAACGCACAGCGTTGAATAGAGCTCTATGATTGGTTCGTATGTCACCCTGTGCGTCCTCGTGCACTGTGAGACCTCATAGTAATGTTTGTGAATACGGGCGTTACTTAGTCTATTTTAAAAAGTATACCTGCTACAGACTGCAGAAGATAAGGAATACCAAAGCTTTTCTCACAATACATGGTTTGATAAATAAACTATGTTCTATATGTTTCTGGTCGGGCTATACACAGTATTAAGCATTTACTAACCTAATTCACCATCCTGTATGCCTTTAACAATAGCATCACTCCCATAACTACTAAAGTTGGCACAAACATAGTTTCTAGCCAGGAACTCGATCTAGCGCGAGATCAATGCCAATTAATTTGACTTACCAAAGTTGTTCGGCAACTAATAGTACAACAAAAGCACATTAGACTAGCCATTTTTGTCGCAAACTCGCTTTTAATACAACTATATAAGATGCTAGTGTTAAGCTTGATTTGCCGTCGTCTGTGCAATAAATCCGGCTGACTTCATTTACAAAATACGGATCCATTCGCTGAATGCACTTCGTTAACAAGCTGCTTCTTTATGCGCATTGAAAGCAAGATTTACAAGCTTCAATTTTATTACGATGCACTTCAGGTCGTTGCATAGAGCGAGGTACGCCTCTCTATATCTATCTCACTAAATATTCCTATAAAGCACCTTAACTATGTTTCCAAAACAAAGTAATTTGTTCATCAAACCACAATCGAAGAAAAATTGTCTGAGAGTAGGTAATATTGTGAACCTGTTACCTCTTCTAAGCCTGAGACGTGTGTTATGAAACAACACTCAAGTAGGATTAAATGCTTTCAAGCCTGAAGTCACTGAATTATGCAAATACCTATACTATGCAAAGGTTTGAAAAGAGTTTTGACTTCGTTTCAAATACGAGCCTAAAATAGTAGGCAAGACATGAAAAAGCTCAGACAAACAGATCGATTGGAAGCGTAGTACCAATAAGCGCCTTGACTGATTTGGCTGGGAAATCTGAAAAAGCTGACGGCCCATCAGTGACGGGTCAACTAAAAGTTAGACCTAAACCTAGTAAAACCATTCCTTTCATATTTCGAGTTATCGCAACGTATAAACGAGCAACGAGCTTCGAAAGAGAACAATTGTCGTAATAGCCGGCCTTTATTAAACTGACGCCACCATTCTTTATCATTATCCCGACGTCCGCCAATTATGGCATCTCCAGTAGGTATTATAAGGATTTGGACGCAAAGTGGTTTGATGAGAGGAGTTGATGCTATGAATGATTAGATGTGTTATGAAAGATTGCGATTTTAGGCTGTTTTTAATGATGTAATTTTAAATGATAGGCTTTGGAAGCGTTTGCTCATTTATCATTTTTGCCTACTAGGCAAAGTTAAGGGCGCCAAGAGGCATCAGGTTAAATGTAAGCCTCACATACCTTGAGGTTAAATATAGGTATTGGTAAAATGTCAAATGTTTATTTAATAATTTGAACGTGCTGTAAAATTATTCAAACACTCAGATTGATAAATCAGAAGAAATGACTTTTCTTAAGAGATCAACCTCCCTGTCAATCACTAGGTACTGAGTAAGTACCTATAGCGACTAATAAATTAAAATCATATTTAATAGTATCAACCATTGAAATGGTCATTCCCCAAGTACACTACTATGCTATAAGCTCCAATACGAAGCTTTTTATGATAATTTGTGTTTGATTTCCAGAATGTGGGATAGAAGAATGTTCCGAAGGCTGCAAGGACGGGACTTCATGTGACTGCGACCCCAAAGAGACAGACTTCAGTGAGTTACAGCCAAATACAGTATTTCATGTCTATGCTATGCACAAAAGGATCACACTACCTCAAGATGTTAGTTTCCTTTTTTTTGTAACTTCTTTTTCTTTTGTTTCAGCCACTGCACGCTTCGAAACAAGACTGCAAATCGTGGACCAAGGAAACGTCAACATATCGCAAGAAATTGTCAAACAAGTAAGTTTCGGTTTTTCGCTTAATCCTCGGAAACTATGCGTCCTAGTGACATGACTACTATGAACCAAAAAAAGCTTATTCAATTTGCTACAGGTGAGACATTCAAGTTTTTCTATGTCTTTTATAGTTTTCACGGCGTGTGCTCTAGAAGGTCTGTAATATTGGAAATTTTATTTTTGTCTTACATGTTCCCATCAGGTGAAAATTGTCTAAATCAACATTAAGCCAACATTTTAGACATGCGGGAGCATGTTAAACCTAGTTCCAGGGAGGGGACTGCACCGTGCGTATATTTAGACGACCCAATTGGAGCCACTTTTGACTCCTCCATCCACAAAAACTACTGTGCATTAACACTTCAAATTTGGCTTATGTGTTGAAACTTGCAATATAAACATCAGCTTCAAATTTCATAAATATACCTCAAATGGTTATTTAGGTATTGACGTTCAAAAATCGACATTTAGAGCTCTAAAATCTATCTATCACCTGTGAAATGTTAAAATTTACTGGTTTTTTATTTGTTCCTTTGTATTTATACATCTACCTATCTGGATGCCAAATTTGAACCTTCAAGGTCATCTGGAAGTTGTTAGAATTTGGTCTATAGGTCAGATATGTAGATAATTAGACGTCAATACCTAAAGAACCGTTTGAGGTATATTTATGAAATTTAAAGCTCACGTTTATCTTGCAAGTCTCAACACATGAGCCAAATTTGAAGTGTTAATGCACAGTAGTTTTTGAGTGATGAGGAGTCAAAAGTGGCTCCAATTGGGTCGTCTAAATATACACACAGTGCAGTCCCCTCCCTGGAACTAGGCTTAACATGCTCCCGCATGTATAAAATTTTTGCTTAATGTTGGTTTAGTCGATTTTCTCCTGATGGGAACATGTAAGACAAAAATAAAATTTCCAATATTACAGACCTTCTAGAGCAGATGCCGTGAAAACTATAAAAGATATAGAAAAACTTGACCGTCTCACCTGTTGCAAATTAAATAACCTTTTTTTGGTTCATAGTAGTCATGTCACTAGGACGCATAGTTTCCGAGGATTAAGCGAAAAACCGAAAAGTGATATCTTTAAACCCCCCTCACCCCGCCGGCTCAAGGGCTAAGGGCGGGGACTTTTGCTATGTTCACCTCCTAACTAGTCTAAATAAAGTCCCGAAGTCAGAATTTGTGTTCCACGAATTTCCATATATAATGCTTTATTGACTGGACTAAAGAGAAAGTAAACTGAGCAGTGCCACCCTGTCGCACAGCGATGCCCATCGCTATACCCGCTCAGCATATGCCGTGGCCCCCGGTGAGGAAGGCCACGACGCTGGTTTTCAGTTTGCCTCACCTTAATACTTATTTAAGTCACACCACGACCGTATCATACTGCAGCAACGGGTCAGCTGTGTGCCAGAGTTTACTCATAGTCTGATTATAATATTTTAACACTCATAACGTGACCTATCCCGCAATATCTAAGTAAGTTATCTTAATAGTAGACCGGTGCTAAACCTTTATCACTATTGTTTTCAGATAACGACCTATTTAAGAGCATCCAATATTACTTTAGAAGATGAAATTGAAGTGCTAAATATAAGGTAAGCTTTTAGACATTTACATAATAAATATTACTTCACATTTTCTACGCAAATAGTGTTTCTAAGATACAAAATCGTGGACAATCTAATTTTATGTGACACTTTGTTATTCAAAACATTTCGATTGTCTACGGGCGTCTACTCTCAAAGGGTCTCAGAGTGTTTGTAAATGTGATACACGCAAAGGAAAAATGATTTTAGCGAACTTTGTGTATGAAGTCTTCAGAGACATAACGTATTTGATACGTGGAAAACTGAACTCCATTATATGGGAGGAGTTGGACCTTTCACTTTGGACATTTTATCTAATAACAAAAAAATGTACCTATACCTAATGTAAGTGCTCATGCTGCAATAATAGACTTGTAAACTAACCAGGTATGTGTAAAAAAAAGTTACCATACGTAAATTATTTTATATTTTTGTGATTTATAGCTCAGCTGACATAAACGGCGCCCGTACAGTATGGCTTCGAGTGTGGGGCGCGCGGCGAGAGGCGGGCGTACTACGAGCGGCGCTAGCTCGCCTCGCTGCTACGAGGTCACGCGCTGACCGACTACGGCTGCTGCCTGCTACACTGCACTTCGACATGCAGCCGGCACTTAGTTTGCAGGTAACAAGCAACTTTCAACCCTTGAGACTGCAAATTTTAACCAGCTAGGTTCAGTTTTGTACGATCCGAGAGCCGGGCGTACTACGAGCGGCGCTAGCTAGCCTCGCTGCTACGAGGTCACGCGCCGACCGACTACGGCTGCTACCTGCTACGCTGCACTTCGACATGCAGCCGGCACTTAGTTTGCAGGTAACAAGCAACTTTCAACCCTAAGGACTGCGAATTTTAACCAGCTAGGTTCAGTTTTGTACGATCCGAGAGCCGGGCGTGCTACGAGCGGCGCTAGCTCGCCTCGCTGCTACGAGATCACGCGCCGACCGACTACGGATGCTACCTGCTACGCTGCACTTTACTACGCTGTATTACGATACGCCGTTACACTGCTACGCCACGCTACGCTGTAGAACCTGTTAGCAGGTCAATCACGGGCAACGTAAGGGGGCGTCCATAAATTACGTGAGACAATTTTGGCCATTTTTCAACCCCCCCGCCCCCCTTGGTGAGATTTGGTGATATTTTGCCTGACCCCCTCCCCCACCCCCCTAATCTCACGTGATATTTAATAAAATGCCTATTTTGAAATGTCTATGCTTCGAGTCTATTAGATTTATATGAAAAAATCAGTAACCTAGTGTCGTGCCACGCGCAGTGCAGGGTTCCGTAGCTTCCCGTCGTTTAGTAAGACAAGCAATTGCTTCAACCTTCGACCAGTTTTTTAATTCATAGTTAAAATAACTAATTGTTAAATTTTGCTACTAATGGTTAAATATTAATAAAATGTAAATTAATAGTTTAAAAATGTACTAAAAGTTAAAGTAAAGTAAATGTATTAAATCATTGTTATAAAAACATTTTTTTCTGTTATTTAACCACTTGTCATTTGACATCTGTCAAATTTGACTATTGGTTACTTTAAATACGAATACATAATATTTTCACACGTATGTAATGTCATTTTTTAGGGTTCCGTAGTCCTGACAAGGAACCCTTATAGTTTCGATATGTCTGTCTGTCTGTCCAAGGTTTCGGTTGGAAAATATTGGCACTGGGGAGCTGTAATTTTGTGAAAGTATGTATATTAATCACGCCGACAAAACGGTAAAATAAAATATTGAAAAAAATCTAGGGTAGCAATATTATACGATACATTCTTAACAAATTAGGAAACGAAAAGAAACAGTACTTAATAACATAGACAATCGATATTGTTCTACACGTTATCACGATTTTGAGTACAAGTTTTGTAATTCCAATTATCGTAACACACACTTGTACCTAATCTACTTTGGCAGTCTTTCGCTTTCATTTATTGTTAGTCAAACATAACTACGCTATTATAACTTCAAAATATGATTTACTAAAAAAAATTTCAAAATCCTTTGGTAAAGTTCCATACAACTTGATGTGGTACAATTTAGCCGACTAGGTGATAGTGCTTTTAAAAAATCGGTAAAAAATATAGCTGATAAATACCGAAAAATGTTTCAAATAATTGTAATCCACACTAATTTACGCTTCTAAATAATATATTAGAAACACCCTATGATTAAATTTAACAAAATTACAAACTAAACATGTATTGTCAAAAGTTACTTGAAAACAATGAAAAAATACTTTTCAAAATAAAACACTCGTGTTCGTTGTCACGGCAAAAACCACATGACCGATATTAATTGATTTTAGTTGTGTATCGTTGAGTGTTGCAATTACAAACATTCAATAAATACTTTACGAAATATGAGGGTGGTACAATTTACCCGGCGGTACAATATACCCAACTCTCCCCTATAAAGTGGGGATGAATTTTTTTCAAGGAAAACTATAACGGTTAAGATACATTACTTAGTTTAAGAGTAATAGTCATTTGACTCATGTACGAGTATTATACAAGTTCTTAACCAGTAAAAAATCCTTAGAAGAAAATAAGAAAAGTGACTTTAGATGAAGTAATTGCTTGCTTCTGAAATATATTGTGGTAACGTCAGACAAGACGCACTTGGCCAATTTTTTACGCAATAGCCATGCTGATGACGTTTTTTTTTATTTCGAATTTTCTTCATTTCGACATTTATTCTGCATCTTTAGTATTCACAAATGCAGATGGAGGCATTTTTAGTTTAATTTGGTTAGACGGTTTAGAATAAATTGTCATCATAAAAAAAAATTTTTTTTTACTTCAATAACCCAATTTTCTGGCAATTTTACTCTATTTCTTATGGGAAAAATTACGTGATATTTTCCAAGACCCCCCCTCTCCCCCACGTGAGATTTAGTGAGGTTTTCGTTGACCCCCTCCCCCCCCTAAAAGTCTCACGTAATTTATGGACGCCCCCTAAGACGAGCGTGTTCCGGGTGGCTACAGCGTAGCGAGATACAGCGTAGCGTGATACAGCTTAGCGTACTACAGTGTAGCGTAGCGTACTATAGTGTAGCGTGGCGTAGCAGCGTAACGGCGCGGCGTAGCAGCGTAACGGCGCGGCGTAGCGTTTGCAGATGAACACGTTACAATTAATGTTCAATGACTTTAAATTAGTGACTTACGCACTTAGCTACTATTATTGTTTCTAATAGCAACTTCTGTATGAACTGCGGTGAGTAATAAAAAACTATTGGAATTGTGAAGCCTACCCAGTTAAACTTCTCAAAGAATTTCTTTCTCTCTACTAAGATGAAATATTAGCTTACTTCTCGCCTCTACAACTTTTGTTTTTAGTTTTCCGCTTGATTTATGTCCGCCACGCCGCTTTTCATTTTCTTGTGTCCTCAGTCTCAAGATAAAGTTGCTTATTTAGCATTTAAACGGAATTACCTTGACAATAGTGCGCAAGTAATTTAAGAGCCNGGTACAGATTTCTCCTTCGTTGGTGAAAATTATTTCCATCATATTGTGTAGGTATGTCACCGTAAAATCGTAAATTCCGTCAGATTATTATCTGACGTAGTTAGATTACAAAACCTAACCGTTCGTTTACAATCTCGCGCGTTAAATTATAAACTGACGGAGATCACAATTTGATGTTGACATCTATAAGAGTACTTCCTTTTATTACACTATAGCATCTATTTGAGCTTACTCGTAAACTTGTAGGCAGAACCGGGCCCGAACCTCGATGTCTACCGTGGCGAAATTATGCAAAACATATACTAATATTGGTTCGCGTTTGTAGATAATCTGAGGAACTTGAAGCTTGATCAGATCGCAAGATATTACGTTGTAAGTACTTAAGAAGGTCTGCAGGGTTTGAAATCCTTGAAAACTGTTATATATTTATTTCTATTTTATTACGATTTCTATTTTATTTAGACGATTTAAATATGGTCATTAAACGGGACGGACGCGTTTTGACAGCTCCCGGTATAAAAATTCATATCTATAGGAAAAAGTGTGTGAATCCTAAATCAAGTGACATTAACACAAAGCAGAAGAACTAATCTAACCAGTGACGTGATTATCTTGTTACAAAACTACAATTAAAGGAAACTACAAGCAAAAACATTTTTTTTAGCGGCCATTGAAACTGCCCGTTCGTCGCGTCGCGTCGCTCGCAAGCTTCACCACCCCCCGCCTTCATCCCCCGCGGGTTGTTCCGTATTCAGTCAGTCACACCGGGTTGGTCCGTATTCAAACTATACACAATGTCATCGCACGGAACGAGATTGCAAGGAGCGAAAGCTAAAGTCGCTGAAAGAAATGTATCGCAATGTACGGATTTTTCTTCTGTCATTGAAGAACTACAACAACTCAGACTAGAAATAACAGAGGTTAAAAAGCAAAACTCTGAAATAAAAAATCAGATGTCATTTTTATCAGACACGCTGAAAGAGACTGTAAACGATCACTCCAGAAAACTACAAAGTGCAGAGCTCGAGATCGCAAACCTTAAGTCCACAGTGGGAGATCTGCAGCTACAGCTGGCAACGCGCGAGCAAGACCACATGAAAAATCACATCGAAATTACTGGAATTGAGGAACATAACAACGAAAACTTGTACCACGTTATCAAGGTTGCTTCACAGAAGATTGGGATTGATCTAGGCGAGTCCGACATTGAGGATATCCAGCGAGTCGGATCGAAGAAGCCTGCAGGACCTGCATCAAAGACCACCACCACTGAAAACAAAACATCGCGCCCAATCGTCGTAAAACTACTGAGGAAACATAAACGTGACGAAATACTCAAAGCAGCGAAGGCCAGGCGCAACATCACTTCCGAAAATATAGTAGCCGGTCAGCCAGCGAAAGTATACTTCAACGAAAGGCTCACTAAAGAAAACAGGCATTTATTTCGAGAAGCAAGATTACGATCCAATGAGCATGGATTTCGCTATTGTTGGGTACGAAACGGAAACATCTACGTCAGGAAAGGAGACGGCAAACCTGCCATTCGCATCACCACAATCTCCGAGCTGGACGAAAAAGTTGGTATTCCAAAAACTGCCGACGAAAATACCACAAAGGTACCGAACTCTCATCGATAAACCAATAATTTTCTCTATCTTCCCCTGGTTACTAAATTTAAGTATTTTTATTTTTGTTACGATTGTATTAATTTCTAATATACTAAGGACATATCAAACATTTCACACACTTACACACACAAAATCACACTCATACACAAAATACACACAAATCTTATACTCTAGTTGTCATTTCGCTGTTGAGACACGTAGTAGTAGTCGAATAATGTCGCCTCTGAATATTTTGCATATAATTTTCAATAAAATCAAGTTTGATAATGGCTAATTTATGTAATGATTTCGATAAAACCCTTTCCGTGGACTGCTACTCAATCAACAGCGTAGAAGACTGTGCTAGTTTAATGTCGCAAAAAAATCTTAAAGTACTAACTCTAAATATCAGAAGCTTACAGCAAAATTTCGATGCGTTTCTTGTGACGCTGAAGCGATTAAATGTAGACTTAGATATAATAATTTTAACGGAATGCTGGCTAAATGAGACTTCCTTAATCCCAAAGCTACCAGGTTACTCTTCATTTCGCACAGTAAAATACATAAATAAATGTGGTGGTGTAACTGCTTATATTAAAGACACATTGAATGTCAGTGTAGAAGAGTCAGTATGTGAGGACTGTAATTGCCTGGAAATTAAATTGGAAATGAACATGCTAATCTTAGGTATATACCGGTCTCCTTCATTTCTGAATGTCAACCCGTTTCTTAATTCACTAAACGCCATCCTAAAATCCTTTAGTAATAAAATTAACATAATTTTAACCGGAGACATAAATCTTGACATCTGTTCAGTTCCTCTGAATGAACAATGCATAGAGTATATTACTTTGTTAACTGAACATCAGTTATTGCCAGCAATAACGATACCTACAAGAGAAAAAGCATGCCTCGATCATTTTTACATCAAAAATCCGACAGGTGCTCTTGGTATAGTCTGCTCGGCAGATTTAACGGATCACTGTATATGTCTCCTAGGCACGGATATAGGCAAGAGCAAGACCATACCGAAGCGACCCAATATCAAAGTAGACTTTGATGGAACTGCAAAAGAGCTATCTCTAGTAGACTGGTCCACCATTATGAACACTGACTCTGTCGACGATGCTGTCACAGAATTTAGCCAGATTATTGACATGGCAATCCAAAACAATACCAAAGAAGTAAAAACTAGCCGTTCTAGACACATCCTTAAACCTTGGATTACGCCGGGACTAATTAAATGTCAAAGACAGAGAGATCGACTTCACCTGCAAGCTCGTCTTAACCCACTAAATACNAAAACCTTGGGGGAGGCCTTTGTCCAGCAGTGGACGTCATTTGGCTGAAACGAACGAATTTAAGTCTTAGCCGAGGAACTCATTTCCTGGATTTTCTTTATGATTTATTCTTTAGCGCGTCTAATTAATGCTATAGAGCGAGAAATACTGTGGAAATACTCTCTGTATTTTAAGTCAAAAGACAGAAAAGCTAATTAATGTATTTTTCAATCTATCCGCTTTGAAAAATATACAATTTCTGTAATGTCCATTAAATTAGTACTTAGCTAAGCGTCTATTATTATATTTTATTACGAAATTATTTTTGCAAGAACAATCCCTGATAATGTTTGGAAGTAATAATTAACAAAGTTATTGCTTTATAACAATAATAAATAGTTAATTCTAGTAAATATCTTCTTGGAAACACAATAGGCAATCATAAAATCAAACACCCAATTATCAAAACATCATGCGCCAAATACAGTAGGCGCGCGAGTTCATGTCCATCGGGGCCTTACTTACTTACTTAATACTTATACATATACTTACTTATAAGTTGAAAAAAATATGGAATAAGTAGATAAGGTTGACCTACTTAATTGGTAATAATTGTCGATATCGACATTAGCATAATTAGTTAGGTAACAGCACTACCGCATTCCTCAGGATGGACATGAACTCGCGCGCCTACTGTACATATCTCTCGACTAGCGGCCGCCCGCGACTTCGTACGCGTGAATCCCGTTTTTCCCGCTAATTCCCGTTCCCGTGGAAATTTTGGGAATTCCTTTCTTAGTGCACCTCTACGGTACCTAAGGTACGTCCCTTCCAAATTTCAAGTGCCTACGTTTAGCCGTTTAGGCTGTGCGTTGATCTGTCAGTCAGTCAGTCAGTTTCTCCTTTTATATATTTAGATAACCACGCATTAATTCTTTTATTGAAATAGGTTTCTCCCAACAAATTAGAGCAACCATCAGTACCTAAGACCGAACTCGGACTAGGCTACAACAGAATAGGGGGCTACTCCGAAACGCTGTCTACTTAGTTTACGGTCTACATTTCACCGTCGCTCATGCTGGCATCTCTCTTTGTGTGAGAGGGATGGCAACATTCGAATCTTCGGATATCGTTTTTGGAGTAGCACCGCTGGAATAACCCGGGTCGTAAGGAATAGCCTCATTTTTCTACGGTCCACAACCCCCGACGCTTTAATTGTTTGAAATGTGATCTCCCAAACCCCTTGTAATGGACGCCTCGATATTTCACAGCATAAGGCCGGGTTTTTTTAGGATTTTAAGGACTGCGTAACTACGTTAGAGGTTTCAGAATTAACGGTAATAATAAATTGTTCTTTAACACTAAGCAGAACTTGTACTGTGGCAGTTAGATAACTTTTAAGCATAATATTGAATAAACTCTAACATGCATTGGTTGGAATACCAATAATTAACATGGCTTCCGACTAAAACCAGGGATGGACGTTATCGCAATCTACCTTTCACTAGCGTTATATACTTCGTAATTAGCAAAGACACTTTACAGTACATATATGACATGTATCTAAGCGGTTGAAGTAACAAGAAAATGAATATTTTATGATGAAACATTACTCACATCAACCCCATATCATTAGCCTCTATATAATGCCCACCAAACCATGCAAGTGTGGTGAGACTACATCCTGAAAACCACGGCCTATTCCCACACAAACAACCCTTCCACATTAAAAGAGGCGAATCTAATCTTTAGACGTTCGTTATAAGGCCAGTAATTATGTGGGCTAACCCGGTAATAGGGTAACCATAATTTTAAGTCATATTTAGCTAATTTAACATTAGCATTGCCTGAAATATGCAAATTCTCAGCATAAAAAACTACCCGTAGACAAAACCGTGAATACAAGGTCATATTACCATACTTACTGCGTGCAACTTTTCACTGAGTACAGCAACGAGTGATTATTTAAATTTCTAATGTTATGTAAATTTCGAGCTTTAGAATTACCTACAGTAGCTGATAAAGAGTCAAGGTTCTGAAGTGAAAGCCACGTCCCGGAAAGCGCAGTGTAGAACGTCTACCCACAAGGTGGACTGACGGCCCCATAAAGGTAGCGGGCGCCGGATGCTGGTCGATACCAACCAGTCAATATTATGGAAATCATTTTTTTATGGGACAGGAGGCAAACGAGCAGACTGATCACCTGATGGATCATTGGGGGAGGCTTATTTTCAGCAGTTGACATCCTTTGACAGACACTAAAATGATGATGGTGATGAATGATACAATTTCGCTTTTCAGTGAAAGCGTGCGTATTTACGCCAAAAATAATCGGGTCTGATGGTCACCCTACCCGAGAAGGTCCTATAGGGACGCGTAATGGGACGCCTTGAATGACTTAGATCGGAGATAGCAAAGATGTGACTTTGCGGCCGAAGGTAGGCGTAATGGATGGAACACTGTACCTACACATTAATTTACGGGCTTGCTATAAAACTAAACCATTACGTGTATTATTAAATGTAGTCTCTAACGACTTGGGATGAAACATTGCTTTAAGAACATGAAGACATAATCTTATCTTTCTAAATTGTGATAAATCTAGACTGCATTTTTATAATTCCTATAAGTAGCTAGAGTATAAGTAATTTAGTAGAACAGTTTTATACAACTAGTTGTTGTAATTGATACTGATTCTTAACTTACAAAATAAGCAACCTTTTCCGACAAAGCAATTAGTATAATTGAGCGACGATATGCCTCTTATTGTTAATTAGGACCTTAAATAAGACATTGTTATTCTCCTTACTTCATTAAATGATACGTAATTTCTGTTTAATAAAAAATCTTTTAGACATGAGAATGATCAAACAAACTTTTATCTTTGTTTTGAGTCATCCGAAGATCGTTTTACGTTGGTAGATGATACTTACTCGTATAAAGTACCTACCTATTTTATTTAATTTAAACATGGATTAGTTAGACCGTTTTCACATTAAGTAAGTAAGTAGGTGGGTACACCAAATAAACTTTGGCACAAAATCCCCCGTGGATGTTTGAACCCCACAGCAGACAAATTATGTTTATTTATTTTTACACTTTTGAGCATCATCAGCAATATAAAAAAACTTGAGTTAACTTATAAGATCATAACTATGCTCATTAATTAGTATGGTAAGTAAGTAGGTAAAGCTAGTGTTTCGCCATAATTTATTTATCATACATTGGTTACAAAGTCGGTGGCAGCGTATCGCGCCAACGCAATCCAGCCTTTCCTTGGAAACTTTAATTATTTCAGATGTGCTTGTTCGTAAGTTGGCCAGATTCCAGCAGGTCTTCGTTTTACAGGCGCAGTGTTCTTTATATCGGTAATAGCTGCGAAGGAACCGTATAAGACCGTTCGGAATTAGCGTTGTACCTAAGTATTATTGTTTTTAGTATTATTACGGAGATAGGCACTAGAATGGCGCTATTATTTCTTTAATTATACTATGCAATATTCTGAATTCCTAATTACATTATTTACATAACATAGGTACACTCAGGTACACTTCAGGCATGCCGTTTTTGAATAAACAGTCCAATTTAGAAAAAACTTGAACTGTGCAAAGAGAGACGAGTTTTTTTTTTTTAAGATTATTAGTAATGTTATTACACAAATAACTAATAGTCCTGTTAGCCCCTCGTACTAAGCTAAATATGCTTGTGTCACGAGTGAGCTCACCACAATAGTCGAGCGGCGGCGGGGACCGAACCCGCGTTCCCCGGATCACGAGTCGGCCAGTCCGCCCTCTTCACCGTTCGGCTATCGTGGCGTCTGTTTTGACCCTAATACCTACTTGCTTTGTCCTCGATTAATTTATGGTTATTTTATTCTAGGCGTTAGTAGTAAACCAGCGTCCTGACGTGTGGGAGGGATCAGAGTTCATCCTCAGTTGTATGGCGTACGGCTCACCAGACACAGTCTTCTCCTGGTACAAAGATGGCGTCAAAATCAACTTCGATGGCACCACCAGGTCAGTTGTAGCTTGTTATTTAACGGAGTATCCATTGGCTCTTGCAACCAGTCATTAGTCATTCGAGTTAAGGTGCCGTTTGGGTGTCATCTCCGTCGCCTATCGTCATAAATATGCATGAAACATAGTTCATCATTAACAGCCTATGCAAAGATGTGAAATAGCTAAACCCTGGCAACTTCATGACCCTTGTTAACACAAAGAATTCACAGAATTTACAGACTATTAATCCCGCCTTTTCAGAAACCAATAAAACTAGAAAATGTTACTTTAGAATATTTATTTCTACAGGGATATTTGGACCCGCACCGTAGCAGAAGACGCTCTCGGCAGACGCATGTCGGTCCTAGGAGTGTCTGAAGCCCAACGTCCCGACCGTGGGAAGTGGTCATGCTCGGCCGATGACGCGGGCAGGCGAAGATGTAGAGCCTTGAGGTTGGCTGTGCTAAGACCACCTGATATACGCCTGGTGCCCTCTACGTTAACAGTCAACAAGGTAAGTCTAAACATAGAAAAGAGAACATGAAAGAAACGAAGAACTTTCTCGGTTCACAATACTCCAGTCGACATTTTTTTGTACTATACTTATTGATGAAGACATTTTGGTGGTAAGGTAATGTTATTTTTTTTTACCAGGGTGACAACGTAAGCATCACCTGCTTAGCCGGTGCAGGTAGAGTGCACGGAGCTTTGGGGTTCAGTTGGGCTCGGGAAAGAACTCTGCTACCGTTAGCTCCGGGAAGAGAAGTGTGGGAGGACTTGTACCCTGCTGGGAGTGTGCTCAAGCTTTATAACGTCCAGGTGAGTTTACCTTATTTACCCTTTTTCATATATTCCATCCAAATGCTCCCCGAAAACCTCTGAAAAGAAATCCTGCTAGCACCATTAACTTTATCTCTTTACTTATACAGAAATCAGGAGAATTCCGATGTCAAGTGTCGTCCGTGGCTGGCACCAACGCAAAGGGCGTGACCATGTGGGCCTTAGGCCTAAACGACGAGGCCTGCCAGACCGAGGCCTCTCACGGCCTGAGGTGGCTCAAGACTGCACCAGGAGCACATGCCTCAGCTTCCTGCCCACCAGGGCATACTGGGGAGACTACTAGGTAAAAATTTACCACTTGAAAATGGCAAAATAAGTTATGTACTGCTTGTGACGATTATCATTATCATTTCAGCCATAGGACGTCCACTGCTGAACATAGGCCTCCCCCAATGATTTCCATGTCGATCGCTTGTAACAATACTAATAATAATTTACGTTACATTTTCAGGTTCTGCGAGCCCAAAACAGGTCAACATGGCGTGAAGTGGAAACTGCCAGACTTCTCTGGTTGTATAGCTGACTCATTAAAAGATATTTACGAACAGGTACCATTTTTCTCTTCCAGTATTCTTCTGTCAGTTCTAAATTCCCAGTTCCATTACATCAGGTTCATTTTTGCTACAAGTTTAGCACATAACTGGGATAGTTCTTAAGGTATAGCAGTAGCGCGGGAGAGGTGAAATATGAAGTGACAGCCACAAAACATACAGGTCTGAAGCACATCTGATCTGAAGTCTCGTTGACTTTTGACGTCACAAAAACACCCTTGCGTGCCGCTTCCATACCTCAGGTACTGACCTCAACTACTTAGTTATAAATGCGGGAGACCTGTACTGTATTTATGTATAGCTGTCACTAATTGTGTATACTGTACTATTGTAATCTTACTCATTTCAGTTCAGTCGCATATCCTACGGCTACTCTTGGGAAAACGTGTCCCTAGTGGCTCGGCAATACGGCGCCGTCCTCCGTTCTCTCCCAGTGCACCCAGGGGAGGGCACTATCCCTCTCTTACATGCCAGGAACATGCTTCACTACTTGCTATCAGGGGTGGGCCGGCAGAAGGACAAGTTTGAAAGCGCAGAGCATCTGTTGAAGATTTACGACACGCTGCTGAAACATCCTGATGCGTTTCTGGATGAGGAAGTAAGTATCCCACCAAAAACATTTTCATGTAAATGATGACAAGATGAACCGTATGTCACGCACGGTGAAAAAGTTATCAGATTGCAAGTAGAGCCAAGCTTCTAACTTCTACACCTTAGCACAAACCTTAGCTTAGTCAAAATAGGTACTTAATGTGGCACATCTGATTCGCGGTCGTCACATGGGCCCTTACGTGAAGTAGTTTTTCACCTTACTGACCTTACGCCGTAAGGTGAAAAATTACTTCACTGTTCATTACTTTTCTGTTACACAATAGTTCTTCTAGTAACGACGCCGTCAAACTGTAGATTATGGCTACAATTGAAGGCAGGAGAGGTGGAAATAGTCCCATAAATGAACCATAACCCAATTTTACCTTCCTCAGAAAGTCTACGACCTCCAAAACGCAGCTGTCGACACAGCTGGCATGCGTAGCAATGTAGACCTTCGCCTCCAAGAACTTACCATCAAGACCAAGCCAGTCCGGGATGACAACGCAGCCCACTTTGACTTGTCGCCCACTGCTGGGACTGAAGAATGGCAGTTGGCATCAGTGGGGGTGGAATTAGTGGGCAGGACGGGGAATGCTTCTGTTGTTGCTGTGCAGTACCATAATTTGGCTGCTAGGCTGCCGTCCTTGAGGCGATCCATTGAGTTCAAGTGAGTTTTAGATTAACTGAATGGGTTTTGCAATTAATTGAAGCCTTTGTCTAGTAAATTCCTGCAAAAATTCTATCAGAGATGTAGTAACTTAGTGATCCAAACTTTATTAACTTTATAATAGAGCGTCAAAATGCATTAAATACGTCTCTGTTCTGTTACAATGCTGTGTATTAATGAGGTGCCTTTTAAATTTTCCGTGTTTTATCTTGTTTAACATTTAAATTATTATTATCTTTACCTTTTCTTATGACTTCTCCACTGTACGTTAATATATTTTCTTATTCTTTATCTTTCTACCTATCTTGTCTTCTTTGCCTCTTTACTATAATTTAAGGTTATGTTGGTTCGTTTATTATTTTCTTATTGGTTTCGTCCTGGCACCTACAACGGCTGTTGTAGCCAGTCGGTTTCCAGGAACGGCCGCGAGATGGAGTATGTGCTGGCGTCGCAGCAGGTCCAGTTATCTGCGAGTGGCGCAGGAGTTGATAAGTCGTTACAGCATTCTGTCACTTTGCTGTTCACGCATGTCAAGAATTATAGCGCTGTTGGTGAGTTACCCTAATTAATGAAAACTAGAAATAAGTATTAATAAAGGAGGCTCAGGCTTCATGTAATAGGTATGAAAGAAATAGGGTCACACAGGTCCTTCGCAACTTCGTTTCCCCAGCGATACGGAGCGACTAACTGGTCTCCCAAGCGAAAGTTACAAAACAGACTGGAGGGCAGATTCTCAATGCCGGAGGCTAATGCCCGTTTTCACCATCAATCTCTAATTTTTAAGTGACCCCCATGAAAACAAAATTCCTGTTATAGTTATGTTACCATAGGGGCATTAGACTCCGCGCCATCTAAATTAGCTAATTTAAAAAATAGAATCAAAAAGATATTGCTGTGCTATATTGCTCCGTACCAAGATATGATAATGGCACTAGTACCTCTGCTATACATTAGACATGCTAAAATATTTCTAACACAATATTAATTTCCAACAGCATCAAAACTGGCCTGTGGATTGAGGACCGCCTCCGAGCCAAGAGCTTGGAGCACGAAGGCTTGCGAAGTGCGAGTTCCCGAGCCAACTCATGTTGCGTGTCGCTGTCGAGGACTGGGAACCTACGCTCTCTTCACCATCGCTAGATCTACGTTGGTAAGTCTTAAAACGCACAGTTGAAGTACCAGGAACTTTTTGTCCCTAAAATTGGCAGAGTTACATACCTTTTTTACCTTCTTTTTCTGACTCTTTGATCAAACTGAAAACAACAACAACAATCAATAATGTACCTTCTACTGCTATTTTTATTTATTTACCGGCAGACAATGATGACTGAGTTTGTTGCGGCGCTTCTTCTCAGCACTTGCCAAATGTTGGTCTCGAAGCGCTGGTAGGGTAAAAAGATTGAGACATGTAGGTAGAGGCTCCTTAAGAGCAAAACATTTGACGATTTGTAAGAAATTTAAATAGTCTATTTAAACAAATAAATACATTTTTGACTCCTGACTTTTGCCTTTTAAACTTATGTATCTGATTCATATTTGTATTCAGATGTTCTGTACTTATCTATAAACCCATTTGTAACCGTCTCGGGAGATAAGGCAGCTTTTGTTTTCTAGTAATCTGGGGCAGGGCTACCTCTCACTACGTATTCGTGAGATCCTCTAGCTAGAGTTAAGATTGCCACGCTGCTATCTTCTTCTCTACCTGGCCCATTCCCATTTTATTTGGGGGTTGGCCTCCGAGTCATGCGTCTCCAGACGGCACTATTCCTGGGTAAATAATTTAACTTGGTTAACCTGCTTTATTCCAGACAGACGTAGAAAAAGACCTTCGGGGCGTGGTGAAGATCACCGTAAGCCTTAGCGGGGCCATGTGTCTAGCAGCGGCCGCTCTCCAACTGCTGAGTCTAGTTCCTGGAAGGAAGGCTAGACTGCCAGTGCTGCTCAAAGCGGCCACCGCAGGAACGCATTCCGCTGCTATGCTGGCACTACTTGAGTGTGATACTAGACAGGTATTTTTGGACTTTACATTGAAGTATACTTTGTGACGAGTAGTAGTAATAGTAGAACTTTGTGCTTCATCATCATTATCATCAGACTTATTTAGTCGCCTCTGCAGAAACGACCGTCTAATTCACCAAAGGTCCATTTACTTCAAAGGCCACATCCTCCATTTAAAATTGATCCATCTGACACTCCCCATACTAGCCGGACGGGTTGGGGATGAGGACGTCTGTATTCGCCTATTTGTGCCCTAGTCATCTCTTACGACATCAATGGGAAGAGTGGGAGTGGTCATACTCTGCTCTGTAAATACCACACGACATTAAATTGCTTAAAATCTTTTTGGATTGGGTAGGCCAGATCCTGATGCTTACCTATCTGTCCCTTAGTCCACTCTTCCGACATCCATGGGTAGAGTGGGAGTGATCCTAGTCTGGATTGCCGAATACACACGGCATTAAATCGCTTGAAATCTTTTCGGGTAGTGAAGGCCTATTGCTTAGCTATCTATCCCTTAGTAGTCCATGGGTAGAGTGGGGAGAGTCATCCTGTTCTGCTCTCGTTGAAACTACACGATATTAACTAAATCGTTTAAACTTTTCGCTATCCAATGGTAATATTACGTATTCTTTCAGGAGGAAGCGTGTCCCGGCGCTCTAGGATGGGTGTGCGCAGTGTGCTGGTGCGCAGGCTGCGCAGCGCTGTGCGCGCAGCCGCTGCTGTTACAAGCCGAGCTGGCTGGCCGAGCGCAGCGGGCGCCCTCTGTCGGGCTACTAGCTGGTGAGTTTTGAGATACTTTTTCATCTTTGCTGCTAATGGCAATGCCAGATTTTGTATGGAAGGTGGCGTCTTTTTTTTTTCGCGCGGCCATCGACCAAACTTTGTTTTTTGATTACAAAATAGTGTAATAAACCATACATACTATGGCATGTATACCTCTAAACTCAGTCTGAACTGAGTCACGAGCATTAGAAGTTTGATGATTTTACATACTAGATTTGCTTTTTGCACGCAAGTTTTGTAAGAAATTGCAACAAAATATTGCGATATTTTTTTATTGCGCTGATTCTGCTCCATACTGATGTCTGGAGCCTTTAATTGATGGTATTGTTTGTTTACACATAAAATGTCACTATTTTGTTGCAATTTTTTTCAAAACTTGCGCGCAAAAAGCAAGTCTAGTACCTATGTAAAATCATCAAACTTCTAATGCTCGTAACTCAGTTCAGACTGAGTTTAGAGGTATACACGTCATAGTAAGTTTGGTTTCTTACACTATTTTGTAATCAAAAAACAAGGTTTGGTCGATTGCCTCGCGAAAAAAAAAAGACGCCAATTTCCGGCATTGTCTTTTGGTGCCAAATAAACATTTTTTTCTTTCTTTCTTTTCTTTCTTTTAATACTTCCCTTGAGGTTGATGTGGACGAGTAAAAGTCAAGTACAAGTCACTTCTATCATTTGATTTTGTATGTAAACTGAGAGCCTCATTACATAACTAATTATTTGAAATTGCCATAAGAGTGCAACTGGACTGGACAGGATCTGGGGAGTTACGTTTTACCTTCTCACATCCTATGTTATAATATTTCTGCCAGGTACTCACTAGAAAATGGATTCTTGAATGTATGTAATAGACCGCAGTGTAGAACGCTTCTAGGAGGAGGCTTTACGCTACGTTACAAGTAGACTATTATAGCTAGAGTACATAGGCTGAAAACGATGATGACGAATCTAACATCATTTCCTTGTATAACGAATCTATAGACCAGGTTTCACCAAATGTTTTGATCCTCAGGCGTGTGCACCTTATCATGGCTGACGGCTCGGCTATGGGGCGGCGCGCCGCTCCAGATTGGGGCAGCGGCGCAGGCCGTATGCGCATGCGGCTGCGCTCTATTAGCGGCGCTGTGTCTAGCGCTCGCTGCTACCGCTGCAGCAAGACTGAGGACTATCACGCACAAGGTGCCGGTGGAGAGGAGGAACTATTTGAAGGATAGGTGAGCTCAAAAGTCTTGCCTTTCAATCCCAACTATAGGTACTTAGCGGCTACTAGTGGCAAGCCACGGCTGCAACGACTGAGGACTATCACAAGATACCGGTGAAAAGGAGGAACCATTTGAAAGACAGGTGAGCTTTCGTAAAGAGCTGGCCATTTCAGTCCGTGATTGCTTATGGGCGGCGCACCGCTCCAGATTGGGGCAGCGGCGCAGGCCGTATGCGCATGTGGCTGTGCCCTATTGGCTGCGCTGTGTCTCGCGCTTGCTGCGACCGCTGCAGCAAGACTGAGGACTATCACGCATAAGGTGCCGGTGGAGAGGAGGAACTATTTGAAGGATAGGTGAGCTCAAAAAAATCTGGCTTTTCAATCCCAATTATAGGTAGGTACTTAGCGGCTACTGGTGGCAAGCCACGGCTGCAACGACTGAGGACTATCACAAGATACCGGTGAAAAGGAGGAACCATTTGAAAGACAGGTGAGCTTTCGTAAAGAACTGACCATTTCAGTCCGTGATTGCTTATGGGCGGCGCACCGCTCCAGATTGGGGCAGCGGCGCAGGCCGTATGCGCATGTGGCTGTGCCCTATTGGCTGCGCTGTGTCTCGCGCTTGCTGCGACCGCTGCAGCAAGACTGAGGACTATCACGCACAAGGTGCCGGTGGAGAGGAGGAACTATTTGAAGGACAGGTGAGCTCAAAAAAATCTGGCTTTTCAATCCCAATTATAGGTAGGTACTTAACGGCTACTGTTGGCAAGCCACGGCTGCAACGACTGAGGACTATCACAAGATACCGGTGAAAAGGAGGAACTATTTGAAAGACAGGTGAGCTTTCGTAAAGAACTGGCCATTTCAGTCCGTGATTGCTTATGGACGGCGCTCCGCTCCAGATAGGGGCAGCGGCGCAGGCAGTTTGCGCATGCGGCTGCGCCCTATTGGTTGCGCTGTGTCTAGCGCTCGCTGCGACCGCTGTAGCGAGACTAAGGACCATCACGCACAAAGTGCCGGTGGAGAGGAGGAACTATTTGAAAGATAGGTACGTTGGCTGATTTAGGAACAGACTTGGTCATTTCAGTGCCTGAAGAAATAGGTAGAGCGCTGCTAGCAGTGCTTTGTCTGGCGCAGACCATGGTGCGTAAGATGCATATTATGTTGGATATTTGAAAGACAGGTGAGCTTGCTAGTTTTCGATAAGAGCTGGCCATTTCCGTCCGTAGGCAATTGCTGCACTTTGTTAGCGGCGTTGTGTCTAGCGCTCGCTGCGACCGCTGCAGCGAGACTGAGGACTATCACGCACAAGGTGCCGGTGGAGAGGAGGAACTATTTGAAAGACAGGTAAGCTTGTAGGTTATTCAGTTCTGGTGACCGTTAAAGAAGTAACCACCAATGAGGTCTAGTGGTGTGGTAAGACCACCTAAGTACTTCAGACCCACATGTCTCGGGTCCCGATACTCCCGATCCTTGCCGCTGCCCGCTACACCCAACGATCCTCCGCGTTCCGATCACAAGAAGCAATTATTCAAGTCTCTAGCTCTTAATAGTTGATAAAACAGACCAATAACGTAAGGTTTGTACCCGGTTCTTTACCCATTGTGGTGAACTTGACCTGATCATTTCGACGACCCAGTTTAGCTATAGAAAAATCAACCTTAAATCACATGAGTAGACACAACTAAAATAATACTAATGTTGACAGGAGCCGAGTGATCCGGCACACTTTGGTACTGCTGGTGACGACATCGGCTGCGCAGGCGGCGGGTGTTTTGTACGCGCAGCCGGGCGAAAGGAAAGTCGCGCACGTCGCCGCGCTGTCCGCTGCGGCGCTAGCTAATGTACGTATCACCAGGCCTCCGTCACTCGCCTATGCCGGCCGAGATAATTACCTACAGCGCGCGACAACTTCAAGTTGCAAATCAGCCAGGGCCGCCACGCGCCTGTGAGCACACGCGTATTTCTATACACGCTCGGTCGATCATCGTCGCAATCAAGGTTTATTGTTCCAACAGCACTGTTATTCTTCTTTATTGGAAAATCGTAATATTTAGGAATAATAATTAACTTTAGTGATATAAATAATTTAAAAAAACTACACTTTTGAAATAATTTTGAAATACTTATGACAAAAAACTGTAGTAAAAGAATTATTTTAGCTAATAAAAAAATTAACTTTACTTCACCGTGTCTATTTTCCGACACTACACCTTTTAAAACTGTTTGTCCAATTTCGAATTATCGCAACACTGAAGTTTATTAATAGGTACTTTAGAGATGGTACGATTATACAAACACCACTAGATTAAAGTTTACCAATCGTAAATACAATAAATGCTTCTTAAAATTAAATTTTTATTTATTTTACTTTGCTTAAAATACAACCCTGACGCTTGAGCTGTGAGGTAGATTAATTCTGAACACAAAAAAAATGTGCTCTTGTGAGCGTAGTAGTAAGGTGCGATTTCGAATGCACCATGTGCGTTGGATATTTTGCATTATTATTATTACCGTTAAAATGCCGGCATCTGATCCTACACAAAGGAGTGCAATTTCTGTTGCTACTATTATGTATTCTGTGCTACTATTATGTATTCTGTGATATCACGCAAACCGTAGAGCAAGGGTGGCCAACCGGACGATCGCCAGTCGATCGTGGCAAGGCAAAAAATACTATACATGATTGTGTACTAAACTATGCTGTTCCATTTAAGATTTCGAGCACTATGTAAGTGTTAGATCGCCAAGGGTTTCGTTAATAAACAGTAGATCTTATGTCTAATCAAGTTGGCCACCCCTGCCGTAATAATCATCAGATCATTTAGTTTCCACTGCAGAAACCTTTCAATTTTATTTACCAGATGAATATAGAGTTGGCACTGCCAAGAACTATTTTTCCCTTATTCGCCTTTTTCATCCCCGACACGAGTGAGCGTTTCTATTCTATTATGCCGGTACCATACGCAGTGGCGGCGTAGCATGGGCTGGCACCCGGGGCGNCCGTCACAAGTTCTAAGGCACCCCCTGGTACCCCCCAGGATTTTGGGGTTACCTACCGATTCGAAGATTGAAAGACAATCGCACCCCCCTCCCCCCCGTATCATGACATAGACCGCAGATTTGCCATGCAGATGTGCCAGTGAGTACTAATCTGCGTGACTTGTGTCACCCCCTGATGCTTGGCACCCGGGGCGGACCGGATAGAATTTTTCGTTTGGACTACTCGTTAATTACACTATATTATTTATGTATGTATATTTTATGCAGTATAGGTTAGTGTCCGTGACTCCCATTCGGCATGGGGCACACTGAAAACCAGGGTCGTGGCCTTCCTCACCGGTGGCCACGGCATATGCTGAGTGGGGTCCCATTGGGATGGGCATCGCTGTGCGACAGGGTGGCACTGCTCAGTTTACTTTCTCTTCCATTGTATGTTTTATGTCACCTCTGTCTTATTTTTATTTTTTTATTTACCCCTTTTGTCTTTTGGGATGTCCATGGCAATAAATGTTTCTTTCTTTCTTTCTTAATATGGAAAAAATTCCACAATGAATACAGTAGACATAAGAAGAGCAACTTTCTACAAGCCGTATAAATACAAGTATGACGTTAATCTACAGGGTGTAGCGATGCTGGTGTGCTACGTGATCCGCGATGAAGAATGCCTGCGGTCCGCGAGGCGGGTGCTTTCGCTCACGCCGCACCGCGAGTGGCAGGACTCCGCCGCTGGAGACACGTCACTCAATTGTGAGTTTGTCTTTTGTATTGGGCCATTCCACCTTCGGCCTGATCGTCACTTACCATCAGCTGAGATACAGGCCAAGAGCTTCCTCATCGATCATTTTTACATCAAAAATCCGACAGGTGCTCTCGGTATAGTCTGCTCGGCAGATTTAACGGATCACTGTATATGTCTCCTAGGCACGGATATAGGCAAGAGCAAGACCATACCGAAGCGACCCAATATCAAAGTAGACTTTGATGGAACTGCAAAAGAGCTATCTCTAGTAGACTGGTCCACCATTATGAACACTGACTCTGTCGACGATGCTGTCACAGAATTTAGCCAGATTATTGACATGGCAATCCAAAACAATACCAAAGAAGTAAAAACTAGCCGTTCTAGACACATCCTTAAACCTTGGATTACGCCGGGACTAATTAAATGTCAAAGACAGAGAGATCGACTTCACCTGCAAGCTCGTCTTAACCCACTAAATACAATAGCTCAAATTACATATAAAAGATACAGAAACTACCTGAACAAAATTCTATACAAACTGAAAACCAACTATGAAAGCCAAATGCTCGCGGCTAATGTGGGCAATCACAAACTACTTTGGAAGTCGATTAAAGACATATGTCATCTTAACAAATCTTACAACCATGCCAATGCCTTAACTAACAGCAAACCCAGCCCTACTGAATCTTTAAATCACGCTAATAACTATTTTGCAAACATTGGGAAAAACCTTGCTAGTAAAACATTATACAATCTCTCGGAAACACAAGAATCTTTAGCAGCTAAAACAAGATTAAATAAGCAAACTCCCGAATCCTTTTTTATGAACCCAACCGATGAAGATGAAGTAAATAATCTTATATTGGACCTTAAGTTAGATAGCTCCCCTGGCATAGATAAATGTTCCCCACCACTCATAAAGGTGATAAAACAAAGTATTTTAAAACCACTGACTCATATATACAACCTAAGTCTTTCAACAGGTTCATTTCCTAGGAAATGGAAAGTAGCCCTGATCACTCCCATACACAAAGCTGGTGATAAAACTGAGCCATGTAACTATAGGCCAATTTCTCTTCTGTCTATATTCTCCAAATTATTGGAAAAGTTAGTAAACAAACGAATTGTCAATTACTTAGAAGACAATAACCTCATTCCTGAAAGACAGTTCGGTTTTAGACGAGGAAAATCTACAGAAGACGCCGTACTGTTATTTAGCAACACGGTGTCTGCGGCTTTGGATGAGAACAGGTCATGCCTTGGTGTGTTCCTGGACCTCGCCAAGGCCTTCGACACCGTGTCCATACCAATTCTTTTACAAAAATTGAACTGCTTAGGCATCAGGGGAATACCTTACGACTGGTTTTGTAGTTATCTTTCGGAGCGTTCGCAGTGCATTCGGGTTGGCATGGACTTTAGTGATTACCTCCCGGTAGAATTCGGAGTTCCTCAAGGAAGCATCTTAGGTCCGACGTTATTTATAATTTACATGAGCGACCTCTTGGACCTCCCTTTAGACAGAGCTGACATTATATGTTACGCTGACGACACAGTCATCCTCTTCCAGGGTTCGTCCTGGACAGAAGTATACAAAACAGCAGAGGAAGGTATGACGGTGGTTGCCGACTGGCTTTGTAAAAATTTACTGACTCTTAACGTTACCAAAACTAATTATATAGCATTTTTTAAGACAATTGCATCGCAACCTCCACAATCCATAGTNGGTAAACTCATGGTAGAGGCACTGGTCACTCTTTCTAAAGACCTCCTATGAGAGGGTGAAAATGAAATTAAATTCTGAATGAAAGGATCTTGCCGTGAGATAAAGGGGATCTTCTATGAATTATGCTCCTCCAAGATTTAGGGGGGTCCCGCAGGACAATAGTGTAATTGTCCAATTAACTGTTTGTACGTGTTGAAAACGTTCCCTTCTGAATTTCAAGAATGTTAAAGGGATGAAAACGTTCGCGCTAAGGTAGGTGCGAATTGTTGTACGTCGTAATAATTATTTTAATTGTTTATCCTTGTTAGGTTTCCCCACCTCGCGTTGCATAACGGCAGCACTTCAAACCATAAAATTTTGTTGGAAATTAGAACCTATTACAACTAAATAAGATGCCAGTGTTTAGCTTAATGTACCACCGTCTGTCCTCCTATTACGGACTTAGGACAGAGCGTAATAGAAATTAGCACCAACTTATGTAACTTTTCTTAACAAGGAAACTTGAGACAAGAAAATATAGCCAAAAAACTTTACTACTTACCTTTTCGCTATTAATTAACCCAGCCAAAGCATTGCAACAAGTTCTGTTTGCTATAAAAACTCTGATTCCACAGCATGTATAGCAATATCAAAACTTTCATCAAAATTGAAATTTTTAGCATTTTTTTTATTACTCCAGAGAACAATGAAAGAAGGTTAAACTTATTCTAGAAATCTAATATCACGATGATATTAAATGAGAGCACTTGGACTCAGGTTTCATGTCTTATGTATGAAGTAGACCCGAGGTTCGTAGAGAATTCATACCTTTTGCCTGAATAATTCCGTTCAGAGGTGTATTGAGTGAAATACTCATGAAGACGATTTTATTGTCTTATTTGGAAGAAGCTTGCGAATAATTTACGGGATTGCTCGTATCATCGGAAGCATAATACTGTGACGTATATTTTTTATAGTCGGCATATTCTGGAACAAAGCTAGAGACTGTCAAACATCATTTTTGTCGTTGAAAATAAATTATCTTTCATCTTTGATAACCCTAATTGGATTATAGCTAGAAGTCGATTTCAAAAATAATGAGAAATTGTCTTTCCTTCTATGATCCTATCAATACAAATTGTCAATATAAAATAGGTAACAAACATTATTTTTACAATTGTTTTTTCAACCTTTGAAAATAATGAAACGCAAACAAAAACAAGTATTCGAAAGAATGGAAATATGAAATCTTACATGTTCCCAACTCAAAGTAATAATGTAGGTACGAAAACTTTAAGTCTTCATAATACGCGAAACACAAAAGCAAAACGCGTTTATTCAAATTTTTATTGCGAAAAATCTTGTAGAGTTTGCTGAAATGAAGAAAAGATATTTAATTAAACATTATACTGTGGCCAAGGTCTTATTGACATCAAAGGGAAAATTGTCCCAAATTGTAATTATTGTATTTTTGTGCGAAGATGAAAGAAAGTTGGTTCAAGGTAATAAGGAGGTCAGATTTCTCTAATTGGTTTTGTTATTTCGTTTGAACCACTTAATTTGTAAAATTACCTATAGGGTTTCAATAAACATCTGTTTCTTAATTATTAATATTAAGGAATTTCCCTATGAAAATTGTATCGTGTGTAGGTATGTTTTTGAGGTATTTAAGATACCTAAGTGTATTTTGCGAAATGGAAAAAAATATTCACAAAACTACTTGCTAGGGAAGTTACTTACATCCTAAGAAAAGCTACAAAAAAACACTGGAACCGCAAAGAAAAATAGTACCCACACTTTTTCTTTGCGGTCCAGTGTAGTACCTAATCACTACATATTATTAGACCACATACCCCATAATCCCTATGAGAAAATGAACGTGACAAATCTGGTCTCAAATCGACGTTAGAACTTGCAAAGTGGCACTGCGATACAAGTTCCCGACTTAAGTAACTAACTTAAGTAAGAGTCTGCCCAGTCAAATTACTGGATACGTGCCTCGAATCAACCGCTGTTTATTGAAGTCCTAATTACATTTGGAATAGACACCCTTGTAGCAAATCTTGCAATTAATGGTCATTCTTTCAGACGTCTGAATTGGCTAAATCCAGGATTTAATTTATTGAGTTAAGTCTTTTTTCTTTATTTTTAGTCTGTTTCAAGCACAGAACTGAGATTCACTGGCTAGTTGGATTAGAAGTTATTTTTTTTTCATTTCCCTCTAATATAAACTCGAGGACGAGAGGATGAATCTCAAAGAGCTCGAGTTAAGATTAAGTTGGTATACACTATGTAACATGAGCGACCTTTTTAGTATTTCCTCAGTATTATTTTCTTGATATTGCTTGAATACACACGAACAAATAATATTGTTTAACAGTTATAATAGATTATGGCGCCTGATTCAATATTCTCGCATTTTCTTCTATAAGAGAGAGTTGAGAAACAAAGTATGAGAAGATACTTTTTTGAGTAAATTAGGAAAAAACCCATAAAACACATTTTATTTTTACACGTAGGCTTTTAAACAGCTCTTTTACACGTCCCAGTATTAACTCTAACACTTCTTCGGGACAATAAGTAAATGGGCCAGCACTGAAAAGAAGCAGTGCGAGAAACTCAGTAAGATGAGACATTATGTACAAATAATTACATTTGAGGAAACCTCAAAGAAAATAAATAATTGGTAATAGATAATCTAAAAGTTAAAATAAAAGAAACAAGACTTAAGAAAGCAATGTTCTATAAACTCTGAACACTGAAAACATAAATACTCGCATCTTTTCTTTGCAAACAATAGAGTTCATTTCATATCGACTTCAACAGCTTCTCTCAGCAGTTAGCGTCACAAAGATATTGTCTTTTAAAGCAATAAAACTACTGATCGTTCAGAAAATTAAAATGTTCCGATACGTTCTAAGTACCTACAGTCGCCAACATATCATATAACAGGTTCTACTTATAAGTTGGAAGAATCGCACGACTTCAACAGCAGTTAGCGTCACAGAGATATTGTCTTTTAAAGCATAAAACTACTGATCGTTCAGAAAATGAAAATGTTCCGATGCATTCTAAGTACAGTCGCCAACATATCAGATAACAGGTTCTACTTATAAGTTAGAAAAATCGCACTTATTTAAAAGTACATAGGATGCATAACATACATTTCGAGAAGCGCAGTTTCTTGCTTCTTATTTCTTAAAAATACAACTGTTCATTTACTTATTGTCTTAGCAATGCCGATAGATATCAGTTTCGCAAATATTAATGAATCCTACATACAGATAGAACCAATATGACAGTGAAGTCAATGTCTGCCCGTTTATATGATAATAGGATTTTGATATTATGGTTTTTATTTTACCGTAATTTCGCCTACCAGAAATTATAATTTTCCTAAATAATGGAAATAGTAAAGCCGCTTTGTTGTACGAGTAGTTATTTATGTAGATGAAGGTAATTTAGTGTTTCTCTTAACCTTTTAAGCCCTAATGATAATGAATTAAAGGTGCTCAAAACTTTTTTCAAAAGCAATGTGGACCGACGACCTCGTAAAGGTAGCAGGAAGGCGCTTGATGCAGGCCGCTACTAACCGGGCGATGTGGAAATCATTGCGCCTCCCCCAACTATGTTGAGCAGTGGACGTCCTGTGACAGAAGCGATGATGATGATGATGCCAGTCAGAAATAAAAGTCTGTATTCTTACCTATCGACAGTTGGGAAGCCTTATTCTGATCAGCTGATATCTCTCTACAATGGACGTGTCGCAATCTTCTGAACTAATCTGAAGCGTGCAATACGATCGAATAGCTGTGAGCTGCACGCGTTATTGGCAGTAAATCTTTCACTCCACAGAATACACCCCCGGGCTATTGCTTTAGGCATTTTAGTGTTGTGCCCATTGATTCCCTTTCCTAGGATTGTTTGCGCCAAATATTTACCTTTTTCGGTGCTTTCGGATACTCTTATTGCGGTGTTAACAAACATACGGAGGGACGCTGTTTGCGTAAAAGTTGTGTTTAGGAACATTTTATCGGAAAATTATTATAGAGGCTCTTTATAACTATGTATATCTAACTATTGTCGTTCATTTAGTAAGTTCATGATAACGAAGCAAAGTATCAAAAACGTAAAATTAAAAAGTGCCTACCTACTTAAATAGCGATATTTTAATAAAACACCGAAGATTTAAATGGTTGAGTATTTTCTTCTACCTATTACGTTCCATTTACTCCCAGCATTCTTAGCAACAAAAAGTCTACATTTTAAGGCTTGAGACGTCTAGCATTATAAATAAGTAGCGTATTTTTTTCTGTTTATTTGCACACAAAATATCCTTAATACTAGACGAGACATATTTTCATCTTCGACTCATATTTTGTGACATTCAAGACGACCTAGACAGAGATCAATACATAAAATCATATTCCACACACCTTTCACACCGGTCGCTGAAAAGCTGGCGTGAAAACATTTTTCGTTTTCCATTCGCGGAAAATCTATTTCTATACAGAAACGAGTAAAATTCAAATCATTTCATACGCATTCAAAGGCTAGAGAAACACTTAAAGAAGCGCCTTCTTCTTTGAAAATACACCTTCAAAAGATCGCTTTCAATGTAGCTCTTTTAAACAAAGTTGGTAGTTTGAATTATAAACATGTTTCTTACGAATCCAATTCCTGAACGTTGGAAATCGATCCAAATTATATGATAACAGCTATTTCATCTTATTAAGGAATTCAGGTGGGATACATACGAGTACCTACACACTCATTTATCTAATCTCCCATTATTCTAAAGACAGATTGGACGTACATAATACAGAACAGAATCATCTGAAGAAAATGAAAAACATAATCTAGTAGCTTCTATGACGTACAATTTAACCCCTTAAAGGTTTTCTCGATATCACAATAATCGTAATCATCGTGTGAAATGGAGCACGACTCGACAGAAAAATGATGCGTTATCACATTTCGACGTTTCAAGATTCGATCGCTCGGCAGATCCGCCCTGAAATTCGCAAAACTCGACCTGTTTCTCATCAGAAAGCCATCCATCCACCCAATGA